CAGGGATGCCAGGGATGCTACTGGAATGTCCCAGTGGGACAAGTCTGGCAACCGGGTATGGAGCAGCAGCTGCAGGCATGGACCAGCCACAGGGCCACCAGTGAGAAGGTGTTAGCATCGGTGCAGCAGCATCAGCACCAGGATGTCTCTCACAAGCCCAAATTATTCTCTTCCTAAGAAATGAATACTAAATATTTATGATGAAATTGTTAGATTATTTGGTCATTCCCAGCTGAGGTCTTTCCAAGCTGGCTGGAGCCCATCCCTCACAGGGCACAGGACACCAGACCAGCGTGGCTCCTGGCCTGGCACAGTGCGATGATCGATCCACCCATGGGACCAGGTCTTCCCCACAAAGAGGTTCAGCCTGAGGACTAATAGAGGTCTTGGGGAAATTTTAAGAGCTAATGGAGATTTTGGGACCATCCCAAAGAACTAGATGTTTTCTGCCTGGCAGAGCTGCATGTTCAGCTCCTGGAGCCTGCAGCACCAGGACAGGGCCATTTCTCCATGTGCTACTGAGAAACAGTTTTGCCATTTCAACTGGCCTTAAATATAAAGAAGGGAAAAGGAAAGCTTTTAAAAAACCTGAACTTAAAATGGTACAAAATATTTAAAATGTTTTCATTTGGGACTAAACAAAACCCTGGGGCGGAGGCAGTGTCTTTTGGCTTTCTTGGCTTAGTCAACAGGGCAAAAAAGACTGTTTCTTTCCCACTTTGAGCAGCACCTCGTGGGACCTGGTCATCTTCAGCAAAGAGGCTGTACCTGGGGACATGGATGTGGGGGCTCGGGTTAGAGCATCCTGTTTGCACTGGGCTCTCCCTGCTGTGTCACTCTGCCCTGTGGGTCCCCATCTGTGAGCACACAAACACGGCCATGGCTGTGACCCTTACCTGGGGCAGCAGCAGGATGCCTGGGACAGGCAGCACAGGCAGTGCAGGCAGTGGAACAGGCCCACAGGTTCTTGACAGGAAGATTGGATCACTTCTGTAATAAAAATTGGATTTCTTTTCTCCTCAGGGAAAAGGATCAAGGGACATTTCTAAAGCCACCACATCCCTACTTGGGGTCTTCCTGGGCTTGTAGGGACCCCCAGATCTCCTTCATGGGAAGGAGACGGTTTCAGGGGCCAAGAGAAATCAAACCTGCCTTCCTGGATGTGCCCGAGGATGGGGTGTCCTCGTCTGCCCACGGAAGACTTGTGGGGTCCCTCAAACCCTTGAAGGGATGCCTTGTGGGGAAACGGAGGACACATGCCCACAAGAAGATATGGAACAGCAAGACTCGCTACTCCCAGTGCTGTCCCCTGGATCCAGCTGGAGGGCAAGCAGGAGTTGTGTCTCCCCTGCCCCATCTCCAGGGGCCAGTGAAATGCTGTGCTGTTTGCACAGGCACAGAACAGCCCAGGCTTCCTGCTTTGGGGTTGTGCTGGTCCACGAAGGAGGGCCACAAAGGTGATTAGAGGGATGGAGCATCTCTCCAATGAGGAAACATTGAGTTATGGGTGTTCAGCCCAGAAAAGAGAAGGCTTTTCGAAGGAACAGCTCAGAGCCCCTTCCAGTGCCTAAAGGGGCTCCAAGGGAGCTGGAGAGGGACTTGGGACAAGGGACTGGAGGGACAAGAGGGAAGGGCCTCGAGATATCCATTTAGATGGGATATTGGGAAGAAATTCTTCCCTGTGAGGGTGGGGAGGCCCTGGCACAGGTTGCCCAGAGAAGCTGTGGCTGCCCCATCCCTGGAAGTGTCCAAGGTCAGGTTGGACAGGGCTTGGAGCAACCTGGGCTAATGGAAGGTGCCCCTGCCCATGGCATGGGGGAGGAACTGCACGGCCTTTAAAGATCCCTTCCAATATAAACCAGTCTGTGATTCTGTGATTCTCTGATTCTCAGCTGAGGCAGGGCAGTCAAAGGGTGTTATTACATGGGTGAGTTTTGATGGCTCCCTGGGATGTGCCTGCAGCCCAGGTCTGGTGCAGACTCTGCCCTTGCAGATACTTCTGTCCCTTCAGCTGCCTGCTCCAACCCAGAGCATGATCCCATGTCCTAGGAGCAGCCAGAGGTGTCCTGATGGCAGGACAGGAGGACAGGGTAACCTGCACCCAGTGTCTGTACCCATTGCCACATCAGAGTCCCATGAAGGGACACTTTGGGTCTAAGGGAACCCACACAGTAGGTCCCTGAGGGTGCTGGCCATGACCCCAGCCCCTGCTCTGCTCCCTGACAGATGCTTTTCTGGCAGTGAGGAAGGATGATGGATATCTGCCATGGGCTGCTGCCTCATTGTGTAATGTGTGGGCGTAAAGTCGTGGTCCCAGTGACATGCAGCTGCAGAGCAAATCAGGAATTCTGAGAGTCTCACCCTTCCCCATCACATGGGTGTCCCAGAAGGAGCATCTGCCTTCAATCAGTTGTACCTTGGAACAGCTAGGGTGGCTGTGCAGGCAGAGGTGAGCACGTGCGCCCGGCTGGGATCACAGCCACAGATTTGGCAGGGACCTGATGAAACACCGAAGCAGAGCCAGGATGCTGTGCTTGATTCTCTCGGGATGGAGATGTTGGGATCCCTGGCACAGCTGTGCTGCAGTGTCCCCCCAGGGACGAGCCAGGATGGGGAGCAGAGGCTCAGCCACCACTGCCCCTCCTGCACCCTGCACAGGGGAGGGCAAGCCCTGTCCATTCCACCTGGGAGTGGGGTTTTGCTCACAGTGCTTCAAATGTCAGCCACAGGCACGGAAGGGGAACACAGAGCACTGGGAAGTGCCAGGTGATGCCTCTAAGGAGTTTATTGCTGCCAAGAGGAGTTAAGTGCTGGCAACCTGCAACCTGGGATACAGGCAGCCCAGGATACGGGTAGGGCTGCAGCAACGTGGCACAGGGATGGTCTGGGACAGGAGAACACCCTAAATGAGGCACCACAGAGCAAGAGGTACCAGGTGCCAGCTCACAGGTCTGAAGTGCACCAGGCACTTCCTTAGTCCAGTCAGCCCTGCATGGCCCAGTTCCCCATCCCAGTGAGAACCAGCACCAGGACCCAGAGTCTTCTCCAGGTCATTACATCCTTGGTTCATCTTCCAAGGAATTGCACTGACAACAGCAGAACAGGGGGTACAGGTCATGGGAGCTGACGGTGCCAGTCCAGGGCAGCAGGGACTCTGGCAGCAGAGCAGTGATGATCATGTGGCAGGAAAGAAAAGCAAAAAGCACAGAACGTTCGGGTTGGGGGCCCACAGTGTGGCTGTTCCTGCTGGCACATGGGATAATTGCTCTGCTGGGAGAGTGGCCCTTCTTTAAGAGGGCAGCTGGGCATTCAGCCCAACCTCCAAGGGCGTGAGAAGGACATGTAGCTGGGCAGGAGAAGAGAGAAACTACAAATAGACCTGGGTGACTGGATTCTTTCCAAACTGCATGGCTGAGGACACAAAGAATGAGATCCTGGATCCCTGGGCAGGCCAGGGGCTGGGCTTGTGTCCAGATTGAGCCCAGACGAGGGCTCACCCCACTCTCATAAGCAGTTCCAGGCTCTGGCAGTGGGGACTCACCATGTGGTGTTACCCACCATAAATTCCTGGGGACAGGCATATTGACCCCATGGTATTGCACCTGGGTTTGACAACATCCAGGGTGGAGAGGATGCAGCGAGATGAGGTGGGTCAGCAGAAGTTGCCCTGGCTGGGGACAGCAGAGTGCTGCTCCAGCTGTTCCCAGTGTAACTGCAGCTTCACACAGTGGTTTCCAGGTGATAACAGAGCCCCAGAGGCACTGTCACAGATTTGTGCAAACCCAGTTCCAGTAGGAACAGAGCCTGAAGAAAAGGGAAGGTGTTCACCCGTGTCACCCACCATACACATCGCTTACAGACCTGGCCCCAAACCCAGGTCTCGTGGCTCCTGAATCACTTCAGAGCTGCCAGCCCTACAGTTAAGGGTGCTGAAATGGGCACAGCCCAGATCCACAAACAGCATGGCCAGGCCAAGGTGACAGCTTCAGGTTAGCCCTGCAGCTCTCAGGGCACCCCAGTCCCAGCAGGCCCATGGCAGTGCTGGCACTCCCAGCACTCCCCAGTAATCTGCAGCAGCCCCACAGGAGGTGGGCTGGGGGACAGTGCTGCTGGCCAGGACCAGGAAGACAATCCCCTGGGCTGGGGCAGGGAGAGCTGCCCAGGCTCTGCAGAGAGCAGCCTGGAGTGTGAACCATGGCCCTCTTTTTCCTTTTTAAGTCCTTATGGGCTCCTCATCCAAGCAAAGGCATGAAATCAGAACTGAGGGCAATTACCACTCCCCTCCCTGCCCCAGCTGGAACTCGTGGCTGTCCTTAGAAGCACCTGAAAGAGGCCATGGTAGAGATTTCTCTCCAGCTGTGGGACAATTGGCTGTAGTCTCCCTCCTGGGTCCTTCCCAACAAGGGGTCTCAACCCTGGAGGAGGCTCTGCAGGGTGCAGAGGTCACCCCACAGCCTGGGCAAGGAGGGTGCTCCTGACTAGTGCAGAGCCCCAGGTTCACCCCACATTGGTGTTGCCACCTCGGCATAGGGCAGAGGACCATGTGCCACAGCATGCCATGCCACTGAGGTCCCCTCTGTCTGCCCCTGAGGGAAAGACTCACTGCAGAGCACCGGCCACTGCTGCCACCACCCTGTGGCATCTCCAAGGAAGGGCACGCCGAAGCAAAGAGGTTGTGAACTGCACCAGCACCACCTGAGGAGCGCAAGCCTCTAGAACAGCTTCTAGAGGAGCAGACAGATGAGGCTACAGAACTCAAAGAGGGGCAGGTGGCTTCAAGACCCCGTCCCTTAACAGGGGACAGGGGGTCCCCCGTCCCTGGGAAGCCCAGAAGGGATGAGAAAGGACATGGGAACAAGCCCAGGAGCAGAGAGGCCTGGGCTCCTTGTGCTCACCAGACCATGCAACTTCAGCTTACTCCACATCCCAAGGGACAGAACAGTCATGGCCTTCAGGGCTGGTAGCACTAGATGGACTGATCTGGGCAGAGAGACAAAAGGTTACATTAAATAGTTCACTCCACTTTATTATCCCTACAGACAGGTGACTCTCCTCATAAAGAGGGTTGCTTTTAATTAAACCTTAGGCAAAACAGGCACTGGACACCAAGGTGGCATCACAAAAGGGATGGCAGGCACTGATGCCAAGGAGACAACTTAGACCCTACTCCTGCAGGCAAGGGACATGACTGGCCATGGCCTTGCTCTTCCTCTTTCACCCTCTCCCTGGCACTCTGCTGATCCCCATTCCACCTGCAGGCACCAGAGCAGAACAGGGACTCATGCCTTGCAGCGAGCTTTAGGTCAGGATCATCCTCAAAGAGCATAGCTGGAAGGGACAGAGAGCACCAAACAGACAAAAACAGGAGTGAGAACAGAACTGGTCTGCATGGTGCCAGCCCAGGGAAAGGATAGCACCTTCTGCCCAGCTCAGCTCAGCGTTACAGCATGTCAGAGCTTGAAACAACCCTGGAGAGAAAACTCCTGGTCTCAGGGGTAGGGAGGGCCAGGAGCCATGAGGGTTCACAGGGATCTCCAGTTGAAGTACCAGTTGGCTACCAAGTACTGAGCCATAGTTGAACACCACAGCTCAAGAATTGCCACTGAGCTGGGTGGGCAGCAGGAGGAGTCCTGAGATGCACCATCCAATAGGACTCATCTTAGACAACCATCATCCCACAAGAGAGCTGCAGAGAAGTGCAGCTCACACTCAGGATGTCACCCCAGGAAGTAGCATCCACCACAAAGGACAGGCAGAGCAGCCATTTGATAGAGCTTCTGCTCCATCACCCACGCTCAGTTAAATACAAAACTGAGCTCCAAAGGCCCTCTGCGAGGTCAAGATGATGTGAGCATCCTCAGGCTATGGAACATGACCTCTCCCTTTTACAGTCATCATGAAAAGAATCTAATCCTGGCAGCCATCAGGAAACATTTGCTAGGTCAAGCCAAGTAAAGGGTGAGATGTCTGCCTCAACCTGTCAACAGCCTGAAACGGTAGCTCAGAGGTGCAGGCTGCCTTGCTTGGACTTATGGCTCATTCCCTACAGGAGCCTGCAGATGTGTAAAAAGCAACTATGGCATCACTACCACAAATGGGATAGAGGGATTGCCAGGAGAAGCATGAGCTTGGGCACTGCCTGGCCAGGGAAGCATCTCTGGCAGGCAGAATGCAGGCAGGAGAGAGGGCATGACCCGTTGGATTTCCCATCTTGTCTTCCAACAGCAGGACAAGCAGGGGCAAGGCACCGTCCAAAGGCCAGGCTTGCCTGCAGATGGTGGCTGCAGCGTTGAAGATGCATCACCTTTTCCCAAGAGCAGCCAAAATCCAACCTAAGTCAGGCCAAGAGCACAGCACCTACCCCTGCGCAGGCAGCACAGGCAGCAGCCACATCTCCTGCACACTGGGGTTGTGGGGCTGGGGAGAGAGTCCCTGCACCCATTTAGAGACAGAAGAGGAGCAGCTTGAGAGCAGCATGGCTGGAAAGCAGAAGGGCAGGGATGCTCCCCAGGTGGAGTCCCAGCTTCCTCCTGCAGAGATGCCAGCGGCAGTCCCAGACCCTGAGACACAGCACCTGGAGCAACGGGTGTGATGGGTTTGGGGCCAGAGTCCCTCGAAAGCCCCGAGGCAGCTCGATGGTGGGGAGGGGGAGGCAGGCACTAGATGAAGGTGGAGTCCAGCTGGCTCGTCTCATGGTTGTTGCGGGCACGAGCCTCAAAGAGCTGCTTGATAAGGGCAGATTTCTCCTGCTCCAGCTGGGTGATGCGCTCGCTCTTGTCAGTCACCTCCTGCAAGAGATGGGAGGAAAATGCAGTTCAGAGGAGGAAAATGCTGGCAACTGCTGCATTGCAGGTAAGATGTCCTAGAACCACAGAATCACAGGCTGGTTTGGGTGAGAAGACCTTAGAGCTCATCTCATTCCACCTCCCTGCCATGGGCAGGGACACCTTCCACTAGCCCAGGGTGCTCCAAGCCCCGTCCAACCTGGCCTTGGACACTTCCAGGGCTGGGGCAGCCACAGCTTCTCTGGGCAACCTTTGCCAGGGCCTCCCCACCCTCACAGCCAACAAATTCCTTCCCAATATCCCATCTAACCCTGCCCTCTGGCAGTGGGAAGCCATTCCCCCTTGTTCTGCCCCTCCAGTCCCTTGTCCCAAGTCCCTCTCCAGCTCTCTTGGAGCCCTTTCAGGTACTGTAAGGAGCTCCAAGCTCTTCCTGGAGCCTTCTCTTCTCCAGGTGAACAGAGCAAGAGGGCTCCAGCCCTGGGAGCATCTCTGTGGCCGTGTGCTGGGACAGGAGCCCCAGCCTGGCCCTGGTGGGGACACCATGGGCATCCCTTCCCCATCAGCCCTGCTTGCAGACCCCAGTTGCAGTCTCTTCACCCTCTTGTGACCTGCATTTGTCACAGTCTTTTCCCTCTGGCAGGAATGCCCCATCTCTGCCTGTTGCCTCACCCAGCAAACAGATGGACACAGCTGGGCCCAGCTGCATGCCAGAGGGTCTCTAGGTGCAGCCCACACCCCCTTCTCCGAGATGACCAAGGCTGGCCAAGCTGAAGGAACACTTCCCACTGCCTAGCATTCCTTTCCTAGCCCTATCCCACCTTCCTTTCCCAGCATCCCCAAGGGCACCCCTTCCACCTGTACCCCCACTCACCTTGGTGAGAAGCCGATTCTGCTCCTTCAGCATGTTGATGGCTTGCTGGGAGCCTGTGGAGGCTGGGGACACTGTGGGGACCAGCCTGCTTAGGGCTGAGGAGGGGTTTGCTGGCTGCAAAGAAGGGGAAGGGATCAGACATTGAGCCTCCTCCGCTGTGGCCCTTCCCAGCCTTTCTTCAAGGCTGGAAGCTCTTTCTGCGGCAAACAAGGAACTGAGAGAAGCCCAGCAGAGGATTAAAATCCCAGCACGGGACATCGCAGGGTCTCCACCCCACCAGGTGGAGGGGAGGAGCATTCCTGCCAGAGTGCCTGGCTCCTTCCAGGAGCCCAGTGGGACAGCCAGCTCTGAGGTAGCAAATTCAGTACTTCAGCAGGTTGGGTTTCTTATTCACTTGACAATGGCTATATCTTTTTGAGGACCTCCTTTACTCCCTCAAATGCCTTGACCATCCTCCAGTCCAGCTCAGGACTAGCAGTGCTGTCCTCCTGGCTGTCCCCCATCACCTGTCTTGGTAATGGAGCCATGTCACCTTTTCAGAGCTGGGGGAAACTCTGGCAGCTCCAATGTCAGCCCTGCTAGCAGCATGGGGAGGGACAGGATGGGTCCTAAGGTCACACAAACAACTTCAAGCTGCTGATTGCTGTTCTCACCTTGCCAGCGGTGGAAAGGAATTCACCAAGGCAGCGGTTCACCTCCTGCAGCTTGGGGATCAGGCGCCCCATGTGGCTCCAGCCACCCTCAGGGAAATCCTGTGGGATGAGAGGAAGAAGAGGCTGGGGTAACCATGAGGCTGGCTCCAGGTCAAGCCAAGTCCCAGCCCAGTTCTCCAAATCCACAGAGCAGCCCCACCTCCTCCCAAGCAGCCAGGCATCACAAGAACAAGCCCCAGACTCACAGCACTGCTTTTCTTCTTCCCCAGGAGCCGCTGATGCTCCTGCATGAGCTGGATGTGCTGGTGGTACCAGTCCCGAGCCTGGTCTATGAGTTCTAGGCCCTGCAGCAGGAAATCCTTCTCCTGTTCCAGCTCTTTCATGTACTTCAGCTGCAGGACAGAGCACAGGGATGTCACCAACTCCCCACCAAGGTCTTGTTGATTCCCAGGAGCTGATTTCTTCATGAGGTGTGGAGGGATGTGGATATGGGCAGGGGTCTTACCCCCTCTCCTCATGAGAAGCCATAGGGGAGTGGGATGATGGCTGCTGCCTGATGCTGCTTTGGAGGACAAGTTTTGGAGGAAGAGTTTTGGAGGAAGAGTTCTCCAGTTTGAGAGAACAACCGAAACAGGTGATGGACACTCAGATCATCTCCACCCTCCTGCTCCCCTTTGCAGAAGCCAGTTTCTTCACCTCTTATTTACCCAGGGAGGCAGTAGGAGAAGCCACCCCCAGTTCCCTTCAGGGTATGAGCGTCAGCTCCAGCACAGACACACTTGGATTTTGGCAAGCAGTGAACAGCCCAGCTCACTGGGCAGGATGCGAGCTGGGGAAAACCTCCAGTCCTGTTTCCCCAGCACTCTGCCCCCACTCTGCTTCACTCCCCAAAGTACATTGAGCTGTGCACAGCAAAGCAGAGCACATCTCTCTGCTGAGTGTCTCTGCCACTCACTCAGGTTCCAGCACCAGCATCACCTGGAAAGGCAGTGGGGACCTTGATGTGCCTGGAGAGCTGCTACAAGAGTGCCTGGGGCCCCTGCCTCCAGAGCAACCCCCTGGGACAGGATGAGCAGAACCCTGTGCCTGGCTGCAACACAGCCAAGGCTGCTGGAGAACAGGGGGGCTCAGCTGGCATCCACAGGGACACAGGGTCCCCATTCCACTACCACCTTCTGCTTCTACTTCCCCTCAGCACCACTTTGCCACCAGCAATCACAGAGGTGGAGAGGGAAGAAGGGACATCCCCAGGGAACAGAGTACTGGTGCAGTGACCCATTCACCACTCTCACCCTGTGAGCCCAAGGGTGCTGCTCCCCTTCTCCATGCCAGGCTGCTCCCCCAGCTCCTGCTCCCATCTCCAAGCCAAGGGCATGGGGAGCTGCCTGCCTTGCTGCCTCTGCCTTCTTTGCCACAACACAGCCTGGCCTTCATCCACAGCACAGGCTGGGCTCCAGAGTGTCTTCTGCTCATTCCGCACCTGCCACGCAAGGCACTGGGGTTGCTCTTGCCCCCACTGCTCCTGGAAACACTGTTTGCAACATGAGAACCTCCCTGCTCACTTCCCCAATGGTCCCAAGGGACATACCCAGAGGAAGAAGTGCAGAGCCTTGATGCTATGGAGGCTGTTCCTGAGGGGCATGAAGAAGATGCTGCGTGTGGCAAGGACCCCACCCAGCTGGGGGTGCAGCCCACCTGCTCTGCCCTGTTCCCACTGGCTCCTCTGGCCACCAGCACGGGGACCAGAGGAAAAGGCAACATCCCACAGGGCAGAGGGAAATTGCCAGCCCTGCCTGCTGCGGGGACAGATGGCATCTCACAAGGATGGGGAAGACAAAGGAGGAAGGAGGAGGAAGACAAAGAACTGGACTTGGCTGGTGCTACCTGGGGTTAAGGGGGGAGGATGGAGCTGTGCCCTCAACTGTCTACAAGTGACAGTGCTCAGCCTCTCATGGAAGGTCTCATCCCAGCCACTCTCATGGCTAAGGGGAAATCAAATCAATCAATGAGGGACTGGCTGGAAAACACCAGCTGATGAGTAGGGACCAGCTGGCAGTGCAAAGGGTCCTGGGGCTGCAGCACAGCCCCCACAGCTCCACTCCCTGCTCAGGAGGAACCAGTCCTGGTGCACTTTGGGATGTAGGATGGACACAAGTGCTCCCATCCTCCATGGGCTTTAGGCAAATAAGTTTATTGACAGTTCCTTGTCCCTTGGGGGCCCAGCATCCTCCCACCACTGGGGCAGGGAGGGGTGGGGGAGGTGGCAGCATAAAGATTCAGTCCTTACTGGATTCAAACCTGTTCCCTGTAGGCTCACAAATGGGACCAGTGCCCAAAGGCCCAGGGTATCAGGAAAGCCTGAAACAGGGACAGACATCACTTCTCTGGGCTTAGAAGCACAGAAACACAGTGCAGCTTTTGGGTATGTGGGGAGGGGATAAAAAAATGCAGAGGACAACTCTCCCACTGCCCCTACAGCTTGGGAAAATAGAGACCAGGGCAACACAAGCCCACAGCAAGAGCACTTGTGGCAGAGCTGGGGACAGACACAGTGCCACAGCAGTGATGGGCTCCAACCCTGAGCTGCATGCACAGGAAAGAGCCTTGCCAGGGAAGCAGGGACCTTTCCCTCTCCAAACAGCAACTTCCAGTCACCCAAAACCCTTGAGAAACAAAAGCCCTTGATCCCAGACATTCATTTATCACTCCTTATCAGCACCTTTCAGCAGAGACTGCTTGGCCCAATGGGGACCCTGGCCCTTGCAAGGCTGCAAGCCCAGCAAACTATGTGCACAAACACCCCCTCCCAGGCTGGCATTGGGGTATGTTGTGTCCCCCAAGGCCAGCACAAGGCTGGGCACTGCCACTCAGGCCTGCTGGGCTGCAGGAGCAGGGTGACACCAGGGTGCAAGGGGTGGAAGTGCAATGGTGACAGTCTCACCAAGCACTCATTCTGCAGGCTTGGTCCTGGCTCTCTTCCCAGGACAATTTAGCTTGAGCCTGTGGGCAACATGCCCAGGCAGCGCCTCCAGTGCAGATCCCTTCACCCAGGCATCTGATCCAAGCCTCTCTACTCAGGGGCAGAGAGAAGGAAGCAGATGCCTCCATCCTGGGCTGCCTGGTTAAATTCACTGTGGATTTCTCTGCTTTGCTGGCAAAAAGTCTCTTGGGAGCCAGGAGGATCAGTATGCTTGAGCCCTGACCTGCAGGGAACATCTGGAAGGGGACACAGCCTGGCCCCACCACTTGCCAGTGCAGAGTACCTGACCCTCACTGGGGTGCTTGAAAGGCCCAGAGATCCACCTGTTGCCACACCCCCACCTTCACCTTTCCCTGCTCAAGACCTTGCCCACAGGGAAGGCAGCCATGCAGTCAAATGCTAGCTCCACGGGCTGACCCCACTCCAGGGAAAGGCACGCACCTCCTCCCTGTCAGGCATGATTTCTGGTGAGGACAGAAAGAGCCACGCAAGTTAGGGCAGAACCTCCACATACATCAACAGAGCTTTGTATCCAAAATATCAGGATCTGCCCAATGTCCCGTGGCTCACGTATGCAGGTGGGCAGCGGGGGAACCACAGCCCAGAGATGGTGTCAGCACTGCAATCCACCTTCTCCACCATGGGAGCCCGTGTCAGGGCTGTCCCTTACCGTGCTGAAGTCCACGCCGTTGGTGATGGTGTGTCTCCGGTGTTCTGCACGGCCCCTCTGATGCCTCCGAGTGTCCCCAGCCCCCAGGTGGCCACCATCCCCCTGGGACTGCCCAGTAGACTTCGCATCACCACCTGGAACAGAGGAAGGCATGAGGCCACCAGCCCCTTCCAACAAAAACCTCCCCAGGGTCACTTCTGTGGGATGATCTGCAGGGTGGTCTTGCAAACAGGGAGAGGCTGAGCAAAGCACTAGCCTGAGTGCCTGCTCCCACCTTTATCCAGGCAGGACAGGCTTCAGGAATGGCTGACTCAGCTGTGCCAGGCTGGCAACAAACCTCAGTGTCATCTTCTGCAGAGAGCAAGTGATAGGAGAAATAGAATCTTTACTCAAGGTATCCTGGAATGCCCAAATAAGGAACAATATAATCTTGGAGAAGCCCTAGAGAATTAGATAAGGGATGTACTCAAACAATCAGGATGTAAACTAAGCCCTGTGTACCCAAACAAGATAAAGAACAAATGTTACAGATTTTGTTACAATAATGCTGTGCCTGCTCAAGACCTGAGGTCAAGACAGTGAAAAAGACACAGAAGGACCAAAGAAGGACTTCCAATATGGCTTTGACTATGTAAAGCAAACTAATGAATATGCATTTAGTGAGAATATCTGATGAATATATAAACAGTAGGTGTAATAAAAAGCCCTGTCCATCTGTTGTTTGATTAGAGGAGCTCTCCTCTGAACGTCCAGCACTGAATAAAGAAAAATGCCCTTTTTAATGTCTACAAATTGGCGTTAAATTTGTTTCTGCTGCTTTTCGGTATCACAAGCAGCTTCCAGGCAAAACTGGTCCAGTCAGTGATATTGCTGGCCCTCATGGGACACCTGGCTCCCACTCAGGTGGCACTGGCTCTGCCAGGAACCCAGCTTCACCTGAAGGCAGCTTTTGCTTGGTGGTGGACTTGGCCATGTGGACATTCCCCCAGACTGCACACCTGTGATATAACCAGAGTAAATCAGGCTGTTGTTTTTTCAAAATTTTATTAAAACCCCAACATCCTATCCTGCAAAAGACTAATCTACTACAAACACATGGTGCTGATGCAAATCCATGCATAACCTATTTTTGCAGATTAAGTTCATACTGGCAGGTTCCAGACTGGATCAGACACCTCCTACCTGTTAGCCGGGGCAGGAACTCCCTGGGCACCTGCACTGAAGTCTGTACAAGCCCTGCACCACCTGCCCTCACCAGAAACTCAGCCCCTGTAGCCACAGCCAAACCACCTCTGATTTGCCTCTGGCTGAGCAGGTAGAGTAGCACTCTGAAACCCCACTGCCCCAAACCATAGCACCAGGGCAGGTAGGGCTGCAGCCAGCACCTTCCTAGGCATGCCTGGGCACCAGCCTGTTGCTCCTCCTTTCCTGGCCCAGCACACCCTGCCTCATGCTACCCCCTGAGTCCTGCAGCTTGCCCGCTCCCTGCACAGAAGTCTCCTCAAGAGTGCTTTTCCCAACCTGGCTTTTAAACATCAGGGAGCTGGTAAATGATGGCAGGCAGCTGGGGAAGATATGCTCTCCTCGGGACTGCTCCCCATGCATCTGCCATCCATCGCACATCCTCCTCCCATGGCTGGGCATGTGCTGGCTCCTGGGTACCAGAGCTACCTGGCTCAGGTCTGGCACGGTCCCTGCTGCAGGCACATGAAGGGCTGTTATTGCCAGGACAGGGTGCATGGCATCACCTGGCCGGGCACATTGCTTCCTTCTGCTCCATGAGTTTCCTCAGCCAAGCACACGGACACGATGGAGCTGGGATACGGGGCAAGGGAGAGCAGCCATGGCCACAGGAGCATTTTAAGGCAACGAGATCTGGGAGATCTGCACTGTGCCAGGGCTGCCTGTGCTGCCACATTCACACCGGTTCAGTGGTAGGAACCAGACTCAGGCTGAGGGGACAGCAGGCAACGTGACAGCTTTGTGTCACTGGAGAAAGAAGCCACCATGCCATGGGAAAAGTCCTCCTTCTGGTCCATCACAGCATCCTGCTCTACCTCCCAGCAAATACTCTGGCACAGGCAGGTCTACAGCACATCAATATACACGGTCTTTGATATCACCCATCAGTGTGCTTTGCCAACTGCCTTTGGTTTCATACACCCAAATCTACCTGGGAGGAACCCAGCAAGACTGGTGTGACCACGTGTGTGTTCTCTTAGCAGACCAGTAGCACATCCTGCTCAGAACACGGAGAAACAGCCCCAAATCGAGGGTACCTTCAACATGCAGACTCCCAAGGCAAAGCCAGGAACGCTTCTGGTAGGAGCTGCAGGACAGGCATGTGTTAAAAGCTTTTTGCTGCTGTTACCTGGAAGTGCCAGGGGTTGAGCTGAGCTGCACCTGTGATAAGCAGGAGCTCCTGGTCAAACAGTCAAGCTCTGCACACCTGAACTGACAAGGTAGTGGCTAAAAATGGATTCCTGCTAATGAGTTTGGATAGTTCTTAGGAAAAGAGCAGGACCAGATCACCAGAGTAGAAGAGATCCTGACATGAGATAAGGGACAGCCTCCTCCCTCTGGGAGCCTCCCTGCCCAAGACAAGCAGACACCTCACGGTCGTTTTACACGTTTCCACACTTGCCCTTGGCGATGACCCAGATAAGCCCCTACAAACAGTCTCATCCTTCCTGCCAGTGCCACCAGCTCTCCAGGGAGCTGCTAGAGCCCAGCTACCCCTGGAGCAAGGGTAAGTGCAGTGCTGGGGAGGAAGCAGTGCCCAGGGCCATCACACACCTCCTGGGCAAGGCACTTTCTGCTCTGTGCCTTGACTTCCCCAGGTCTCAGCTCACAGGAGAACCACAGGGGTAAAGACCCCCAGGAGTGACACACTCAGACACTGCTGTGACAAGGCACCAGTTGGCACCATCACAGTGACTTCCCCAATATCCATCTCACCATCCTTGTGCCTAGAGGGTGCTGTTGGCTCCTCAGGGACCATGGGGCACCCAGCAGAAGCTTGTGGGCTGCCTGAGCACTGCTGGGCTGAGGAGAAGCTGGAAGGTGACTTAAGAAGGGACTTCTTCAGAAGTGCTTCAGCCCACACACTAGCAGAACTTAGTGAGAGAAAGGGCATTGTTGTCCACTGGCTCATTACACCCCTGGACACACCAGGAGAGTCACATGGCCCCAACCTCTGCCATTTTGCCGTGAGTCACATCCAAATCACGTTTGACCCCAGATCATAAAGCAGAGCTGGGAAGGCATCCTGTGAGCACCCCTTTCCCCAAATCATAGGCAGGGAGAGCTTCCTCTGACTCATTACATCCTCTCACTGCACTTAGTTGGGTTCTTACAGAAGCCACCACATGTAGCTGGAGGCTCAGAGCAGCCTAGCACCCAAACAATATAATCTTAGTGGAGATAGAGCTTCCTGGAGGAACAGACAGCTCCCAGCACACTTCTCTGTAGTGTGACGGAGCTGTGTCCTGACACAGCACCGCCCAGCTCCCTCACAGCCAGCTGAGGAGAATATCCACCTGTTCAACCACACCCTGGGAAACCTTCCAGTGCTCCAAGGGAGCACTAGGCAGTTGTGCAGGAGTTAAAAGAGACGGAGTAACTCTGAGCTGTAACATTTTCTAAGCTGATGAATCAATTTGAAACTCAGGCCTCTTGCCAGAATATGACCCTGCAGCTGGGGAAGCTGGCATCAAGGGCTGAGGCACTAACCCTGTCTACAGGCTCCAGACAGCTGTGGAACATCAGCCTATAAGGAAAAGATCCTCAGCAAGCAGAAAGCTGCTGCAGTCATCTTCTTGCTCCTTCCCAGGACAGAGTTTTCAATCTGCTGTCTATTCACCAAGCAGGATTTTTTGCAGGTTTTACCAGATTTACACTCTTGATGATAGAAGAGTCAGCCTGCTTAATAATATTCCCTTAGATGAAGCTCCAGTGATTAGTCTGGAGGCAAAATGGAAAGCAGAGAACCTCAGCCACAGATAAAGTTTCTTCTCCACCCAGCAGAAGGGACTGGAAGGGAGTGGGCAGGAAGAGAAGGCAAACTAGCCCGACATTCCCAAGGTGGAGGAAGTATTCTCATAAGCACTCAGGTCGTGCAATAACGAACACCAGGTCCTCACGCAGACCTTTGTGTCCTCATGTCTCAAAGCACTTCACAAACCCAGATAAAGAATTATTACCTACCCAGATAAGCCCAGAAACCTGATTTCCTTATAACATCTCCTACTGACTAGCAACAAATCAAGATGCTAATGAAACGGTCTTTCCTGTGCCAAGGTCAGCGTACCACCCCAGAGGGCTCTGGCAGAGCCACACAGGGCCCCCAGGTACCAAGGCAGGGGAAGAGTCCATAGGGACCTGCAGGTGAGCTCTGCAGCCAGAGCCCGGGACAGCAAAGCATGTTAACCTGGTGCCACTTTCTCATTTATTCATTCCTTAATTATTTATTATGGGAATAGTGTTGCAGAATGATCCAAACCAAAAAGCTGGATCAGGTTTTGCAATTTTTATTGCACGTGCATGACATTGTGAAAGAATCCTTCCTGAGGGCCACCCCAGCCCAGAGCCCACGAGTACTCCGTGACCATAACCCTCACCCCGTCAAGGTTGCTCGGGGGGTCCGCAGGTCCCAACCATCCTCTGAGACGCCCCCGGGAAAGGTCAGGACAGACTCTACGCCGGGGGACAACCACGGACACGTTACGGTAAAGCCCTTAATTCCTTCTGTCAGCGATATAAATAGCCCAGCGCCTCGCGAAGGGAGCACAGCCCTGGGCGGGCGGCGGCGTCGGGATGTCCACACCGGGACCGGAACCCAGCAAAGCCCAACTGAGCATGGCAGTAACTTTGGCGGAGTTTCACACTGGCCCTGTGGGAATCGCTGGCTCTAGCCCCGAGGAGAGCACAAGGGAGCAGGACGAAGCACTAGATCCCAGCCGACCTTCGGGCGCCAGTCCCCGGGCCCGGCGCTGCCATCAACCCCGCGAGCCCGGAGCCCCCGGCACTCACCGCGGCCTCTGGGCTGGCTGTGCCCCGGTTCCCGCTGCCCGGTGCTCTTTCCTCGTCGCTCTTCGGAACAGCGAGGGCTCGGTGGCTTCTCCACGCTCCGCTGCCCGCCGCTGCCGCCCTCAGCCGGGGGCTCAGCCCCGGGCAGGGCCGCCCGCAGACCCAGGACGAACCTCTCGAAGGTGAGGTACCCGCTGGCCGGTGCCGCCTGCCGCAACCCCTCCATCACCCCGGCGGGCAGCTCCTGGGCTTCTGCGCCCCGCCAGCGCGACTCGATCTCCCGTAGGTGCACGTAACCCCGTCGCCGGTCATCCAGGATATCGAAAAGGGTCCGCAAGCTCTGCAGGAAAGCCCTCGGAAGCCCCTCGGTCCCGGCGGAGAGAGGCGATCGCCGCGCTCCGGAGCCATCGCCGCCGAGCGTTACCCCGGCCCGGCCCCGCGCGCCTATTGGCCAGGGCCGGGTTGTGCCGAGCTCTCATTGGCTGGCGGCGGGCGCTCCCTCCGGCCATTGGCTGAGAGGGAGGACGGCGGTTTGAGTTCCACGCGGCTCCCGCCCTGCTCGCGGCCGAGGGGCCGCGGGGGGGTCCGGTCCCTTCGGAGTGGGATGGAGCAGGGACCGAGACCCCGCCACTTTCTCTGTCGCGAGCGAGCAGGACTCAGGGAGATGTTTATTCCTCCATCCCCTGGTTATCCGGGACCCTGCACCCCGAGAAGAGCCGCTCTGGCTGGTGTCCATCCATCCATCCATCCATCCATCCATCCATCCATCCATCCATCCATCCATCCATCCATCCAGGCACAAATCCTGGTTTCTTTTCAAGCAGAGACCTGAAGAGGTCTCAAGAAGAGACATGTTGTAGTTTAACCCCAGCCAGCAACTAAGCACCATACAGCCTCACTCACTCCTGGTGGTATGGGGGAGAGAAGGGAAGGGTAAAAGTGGGAAAATCATGGGTTAAGATGAAGACACTTTAATGGGGAAAACAAAAGCCACACACACACCCACACAAAGCAAAACTAGGAATTCATTCACTGTTTCCCATGGGCAGGCAGGTGTGCAACCTTTCCAGAAAGCAGGGCTCCATCCTGTGTAACAGTTACTGGGGCAGACAAATCCCAGACCCTTCCTCTTTCTGCCCCCTGGTTTATACACCGAATGTGATGCCATATGGTCCAGAATACCCCTTGGGTCAGCTGTCCAAGCTGTGTACACTCCCAATTGCTTGTGCACCCACAGCCCCTACACTGGTGGGTTCAGATGGGAAGCAGAAAAGACCTTGGCTCTGTGTAAACACCACTCAGCAACAACAAAAAAAAAATCTCTGTATTATCAGCACCATTTTCAGCACAAATCCAAAACCTATCCCCATACCTCTACCCTGCCAAAATTAGCACAACTCCTGAGGCTTCAGATCCAATGTAATTAGCAAAGAGGGACAAAAAAACCACCCAACTGTGGCATTCACCCTCAGCACCATTCTCTCATACACCCCAGAAGTGTCACTCAATGCAGCATCCCTACAGAAGAGGGATATGAAGCACCAGCACGGTGTTGCACTTGCCTGGTACATGGGGGAAGTGAGTGCTGACAGAGGGAATTGAGTCTCATCATCCCAGTGCTGTGCCTGGTGAGGCACCAGTGGCCATCACCAGCAGGAGCTGGGGTAGGGGCTCAAAGGAGCCACAGATAATAAAGGGGGAAAAAAACCCCTCCAGTATTGACAAATGTAAGAGAAACAGGATTTGGGTCTTTTATTTTATAAACTTACTATGTACTGGAGCTGGTAGGAGAATGAGTTTCTCTACTTTACAGGGAAATTTGCTGCATCTGTTAGATGCAGTGGTATGTGCAAGATGCAGCATCCTGGTGCAAGATGCTGCCTCCTCTGCAAAACCTCTCCATCAGACAGTGTGTCCTGCTCCAGCTGGTCTCTGTGCTGTGGCTGAACTCTTCACAGACTGCTTTTCTTTAACTCATTTCTTTTCATAAATTTCCTGGAGCTGTTGTACCTGTTTGAGATCTCTGCTTGGCTTAGCTGTGTTTGACTAAACAAGTTCACACCTGCTCAGGATACAAGGAGAGGGAACCAGTGCTGCATCCCTCCCCTTCCTATTCCAGAAACTAGGCAGTCAATGTGGTGCTGCTCAGCTCTGGCAGCATCAGCACATGGGCTGTTTTGATCAGCAAAGGCTAGATCTGCAAACAAAAGGGGTTTTTTCTCTGTGTTCCTCCTCCCATTCTGGTCTTGCAGGAGCAGCTGGGAATAACAGAAGGAATTCAGAGTGACCGTAATGTCTTGTGTCCAATTTCCCTGCCTAGCCAATATATCCCACCAGGAAGGTGATCCAGAGATATCAGAAACAGTTCCTGGCATTGACTATATCTGCTGTTTCAGCCAAAATACTCTTGCTGTCTATGTGAAGCTTCCTGCTCCAGCACAAGGAGCTGGGACACAACTGCCTAGAGGGCAGCTCTGCTCTTACTGCATTTTTCATACCAAAGTGCCCTCAAGAAGCTGCCTTGAGACAGGCTGATGTTTTCATCCTCAGTGTGTCAAGTGGCTGAGGTTAGAGAGATTTTGAATATTCTTGGAAAAGACTTCTTGGGATTTTTTTTTTATTTTTTTATTTTTTTATTTTTATTTTTTTATTTTTTATTTTTTTATTTTTTATTTTTTATTTTTTTATTTTTTTATTTTTTTTTTATTGGGGGGGTGGGGAGCAGGGTATTTTCTCTCACTTTATTTTGGGGCCAGGAGCCCCTGGTGGTCTAGTGGTAAAGGCACCGCGCTATCACCGCGGAGACCCGGGTTCGATTCCCGGTCAGGGCCACTCCCGGGCAGGTGGGGCTCGTTAGCCCTTAAAGGCAACCCACCTATATCCTGAGGACCTCGCTGCCACCGTCCAAGCTCGCTTGGCCCCGGCAGATGAACCTTAGGATTAAAGGGTGGGCTCAGTTCCGTGCACACTGTGTCTCACCTAAAAAAATCCAATGCGCAGGCTGGAAGGTGGAAAGACCTTCCCCGGATCTTCGCTCGCAAAGACTGGCCATTATTATTATCTTGGGGCCAGCTCAGACCTCTGATGGACAGAGACTTCTTTGTTTTCTGAAATATAAAAAACATAGTTATTCAGTTGTCCTTCCTCCAAGCTACTGGGAAATGCCAGCTGCCATTCAGACCTGGCCTAGCCCTCTGTCTCTGCTGTCCTGTGGGCATCAGCAATGACATGCATGGGTTTGGTGCAGTAACACCAAACATATCACTGCCCCTCTCTGGAGAGGGTACCTGATGTCTCCTGGGAGGCTGGTGGCAGGTCAGCATGTCTTACCAACCAGCATTGCCACCTCTGTGAAGAGAGGTCACAGAAGCTGCACCAAACCCCAGCAGATCACTGGAGGAACAGTGTGCTGGTGATGGGGCACCTTCCTAAATGACATGAACCATCAGTGGGTGCTGATGGGTGACTGTGGCAGCAGCTCGTGCTGTCTTCAGTGGCCTGTAAGTGTTCCCATGTAAATCTTGATTATGCAGAGAACACATGGTGACTAACAGCCATGAAGTAGTCTCCTGGTGACCATGTCCAAACAGATGTTGTGAACCTCCACTGCTCTCTCTGGGGAGAGCAAGGTCTGGTGGGGAACCAGCCACAGATCTGTGGGCTCGGTGTGTGCATACTGTTGCCTGGCACATGGAACAGCTGGCACCACTGGCAGCCCAGACAGTGCTGCATTGAAAGTGGGTTTGTCCCCAGCCAGTGCAGGTTGCCAAACTGTACCCAGGAATGGTTGGTCAGAGCTTGGTTAAAACCAGACCAGGAGCTGTGTCCACAACAGTCCAGACCAAGTCCTGGTATGTCCCATCACTGAAAAATTCATTAAGTATAAGTCCCAAAGCTGGTGGGTGCAGGGAATTACTTTCAGTGGGGTACCAAACTGTCAACCCAGAAATGTATACGGTCCTGAGAAACTTCTGGGAAAGGGCTAAAAATAGTGAGGAGAGCGTGGTTGGAGAGGTTTCCCTTTGGGCAGGGATATTGTGTTTGCTCTCCTCATCGCTGCAATGACATTGTGTTTTCCATCTCATTGCAAACAGGGCTTCTTGGAGACATGCTGTGTTTTCTTTGGTGGGGGCCAGGCACTTGCCATGAAGTGACTTTTCTCTCCTCCAAACTGTTTTTTCTCCCAGAAGGCCAAAAAGCAGGAAGTCTGGTAGATGCTTGGTGGGTCATGGGCTGTCACAAGGGTTGGTAGAAGGGCAGTTGGTGAGAAGTTGAAATAAGCTGTCTGTGGGGGTGGTGGGTTGTTTGCTCACCTGGGTCCACAGAGTAAGAACGGGTGTTAGCAGGAAATGGCAGTCACTGTGTCCTATCTCACCATCTCACCCCTCCTGTTTTAAATACAGGAAACTATCTGGGGCTTAAATGGAAGTATGATAGATACTGCAGGGTTTCTGATTGGAATCCATCTAGCAACTGCTTTATCTTATCATACACTCTCCCAATGATGATGAAGCCAGGATCAATGAAGGACAACAGCAGTCACAGCTGTATCACAGCCAGAAATTCCCCTGTCTGTCATCTTATTCAGGGAATGATTGTAAAACCATATTTCTTTGGGGAATGCACTGGAGTGTACTTATGTGTTGAAGCCTGGAGCAAGGCCCTAAACACAAGAAGCTCTGCCTCTCTCCTGCTGGGATACCTCACCCCGACAGAGTGCTGTGCACTCTCTGCTGTCAGGGTGCTGGAGCTTTTTTCCCTGCTGAATTTCCTGTTCTACCTGCATGTTTGTGTTTTGTTTGGCCCAAGCATCCCTCCCTCCTGCTCGCTCAGGTTGTCCTGCCTGGTGTAACTGATCCAACTTGTCATCATTTTTATTGCTTTGCAGAAGAAAATATCTACACATACACTGCCATGGGTTGTAGAACCAGTCCAGGGGACGCTCTGTAGCCAGACAAACCTGTTCTGGTGGATGGCTGATTTGAAGGGTGGAAGCATATTCGCCAGCAGCAGCAGCAAGATTTTCCGTGCTTCTTCTAGGATCCCACGGGTATGAGATCCCACGGCTCTGAGCTGGGATTCCTTTGAGGCACGGAAGCGAGTTCTGCAGGAAATGGCAGGGCCTGATTTACAAGTGGTATCTGAGAGAGCCTTTTCTGATGAATAAAGGTTGGTGATTATGTAGGTACCAGGTACATGAAAGGACCTGCACCCATCCACACACTGGGCAGGCAAGGAATACAACCATGACAGGGAGAGATTTTGTATAAAGGGGAGCAGAGCAAGGAGGTTTCAAAACCCCAAACCTCTTCAGAGCAGGAGCTTGTCAAGTCACATAAAATAGGAAATAGAACATGAAACAAAAGCTTTGACAACTCTCAGGAGTTCTTTCTGACTTGATGGTCATA